TTTATACCAACTCACCCTCCCACTCAGATTGTGTGCATGCCTGTTCATCACACCCACAAGTCACAAGTAAGTCATTAAACTTTCTGAGATTTGCCAATCTAATAATGGAAAAATGGCTTCCAGTTTAGAGTTAATTCCTACTTCTGTTATCATGAGTGAGGTGAACATCTCAGCACGCCTTTCAGAGTCACTTGCATTTTCTTTTCTGTAAACTATCTGTATAAATACTCTGCTGATTTTTCTACTGGGCTGTGGGTCTTTTTTTTTATGTGTGGGTCCTCTGTGCATCAAAGGTTCTCTCTCTTTGCCTTTGGCTGCATAAACTTCAGAAACAATTTCTTTTTTTTTTTAGGGCATGTAGCTTTTAGACAGAAACCAGAAGTTTCTGTAGTACATGGTCTGCACATCACTTCAGGCCCTCCCAAGGGCCAAAGGAGCAGCAGCGCCACACAGAACCTGTGGGGATGGAGGGCAGGGGGGTGTAGGGAGAGTACAAAGAGGCAAAAGCTGCTGCAGAAGACTATGGATTCCCCATGGCAGGGAGCAGACAAAACAGGCGGGCCTGGCTTTAAGACTCTCTTGCCTTTCACCTGAAATATCTGAGGGTAGAGAACCAGAACTGGGAGGATCCACACTGTAGGGCTGTCCATCTCTGATCATTTAGTCCTGTTTGGGAGGTTGTTATATCTGGAAACTCCAAGTAACATTATTTAATAGTAATGTAAACTTCTAGAATGTAAATGTCAAGACACCAGTGTTTAAGTGCTAAAGAGTCAGGTTCCTCTTTGAACTCATCCTCTTCTCTTCCTTCCTCTTACCAATCCAAGTCAGATCTTAGCATCTCTCATCTGGTCTCTGTCCCTGCTCCATTCCCCAGCTCCCAGACTCCTCTGCTCCCCCAACCCATCCTCCTCTCCAGCAGCACAGTTCACCTCAAGAAAATGGAAGTCTATAGGTCACTCCCCACTGCCTATACTTCCTAGCCTGCCCTTCCAGATCCTTCTTAACCTGCCCACTTCCCTGATTTCCTCTCCTACAAGCCCTACTTATCCCCTCTTCACATACTCCATGCTCTTCCAGCAATAATAATGGTTAATTTTTTGTCTACTTACTAACATATTTTTTTTAATTTTTATTTTTTTATTATTCATATGTGCATACAATGCTTGGGTCATTTCTCCCCTCTGCCCCCCTCCCCTCCCTTACCACCCACTCCGCCCCCTCCCTCTCCCCCCCCACCCCCTCAATACCCAGCAGAAACTATTTTGCCCTTATCTCTAATTTTGTTGAAGAGAGAGTATAAGCAACAATAGGAAGGAATAAGGGGTTTTGCTAGTTGAGATAAGGATAGCTATACAGGGAGTTGACTCACATTGATTTTCTGTGCGTTTGTGTTACCTTCTAGGTTAATTCTTCTTGATCTAACCTTTTCTCTAGCTCCTGGTCCCCTTCTCCTATTGGCCTCAGTTGCTTTAAGGTATCTGCTTTAGTTTCTCTGCATTGAGGGCAACAAATGCTAGCTAATTTTTTAGTCCTACCTATCCTCATATCTCCCTTTTGTGTACTTGCTTTTATCTTGTACTATACATACTCTTACATGAATTATCTTGTTCAAGCCTCACGACATCCTTGAGATCCATGAGGGTGATGCTATTGTTAGCTCATTTTATAGATGAGGAAACCAAGACCCAGAGGCATTTAGGGGCTCATCCAAGGTCACCCAGCAGTGTTGAGATTCAAAACCACTCAGTTCTAACTTGTCACTGGTCTTGGAGGCCATGCTCCTTAGTGTCCCCTTCTTCCATCCATGCCAGGGAAAGGGGGCCCTCCCCCTCAGGGCTCCCCTCTCCATTGTCCAAAACCTTGTTTGTCCTTGAGGTCTTGTTCATTAGTCACCTCCTTTTCACAGTCCTTTCCAGATTCCCCAGAAGAAGGATTCTTGCTGTTTGATTTCACAGTTGAGAAGCTTGTGCTATGATTCTCTAGGGACCTGTCTTCCCTCCCCAATGCGTGCCCCCTCAGTGGGCAGGGATTGTGCTCTATCTCCCTCTAGTGTTGAGTACAAAGTCTGGCACACAATGAGTGCTCTCTAAATGTGTGGGGACCAAGTGAAAGGGGCCCCAGGATTCCTCCCCAGCATACAGTTGGAGAGGAATGCCAGGAATCTCCAGTTGGAAGTGAGGTGGGAGCAGGAAGTTGAAGAGCCCTCAAGTGGGAGAGACCTCCATCTAGAGGGCAGCCAGAGGCGATTTGTCTAACCTCAATAATTGTCCTTGGGGCCAAACTGTTTCCAGAGGCTCCAGCTGGTGGGGAAGTTCCATACTTGCATGACCTCTACAGGTCTTTGGAAACCAGCTGCCTATGCCTAGGGAGTTTCCCCTCTTGCCATGTCAGGAACTGAACCATGACAGGAAATGACCCTGGCAGGGTCTGTAGATGTGACAGGAGGAAGTGTGGCCAGAGGGCCTATGCTCAGGGCTACCCCAGCTAGTGTTCTTTGGTACGATGGCAGAGGTAGTTCTGCAGCGGATGGGGACTTTCTTGGGTGTGAGGGAAATTGCCTCATCCTTTGAGCTCTGGTGTAAGAACTCTGGCGTCCCAGTGCCTTTCACAGTCCTCTCACTGTGTCTTAGCTAGGACTGTGGGAAGGTTCTGAGTTTGAGTCTCATGCAAATCCTAGCTCTTTAAGAGATACCTCTATCTCTGGTCCTCAATCCACATTTACTCCTATGGCCACTCACCTAGGAACTCACTAAGGCTCTCCACAGCCAGGAGCATGTGCTCTGAGGTTAGACATGAGTCTATATTGCAGCTCATCTTGTCCTGTTCCCTTCCCCTCCTTGGGCTCTAACTCCCTCACCCACAAACTACAGATAAGGATATTTGACAATATCAACATTAAGGAATTTGTTCAACAGAAGGCACCATAGACTGGCTGTTCTCAAAGTGTAGCCCCTGGACCATCAGTACCATTGGTTACTTATTGGAAATGCAAATTTCTGGGCCCCACCCCTGCTCTTTTGAGTCAGGAACTCTAGGGATGGGGTTCAGCAATCTGTTTTAGCAAGACTTCCAGAAGTCTCCTGTGCCACGGCCATAGATAAACTTAACAACGGGCAGCATATTGGGAAAAGATACTTGGAACATTGATATCCAACAAGGGACTGAGGTCTAAGATTTATAAACTAGTCTTGGGAACCAACATGAGAAACAAAAGAAACAAACCAGGAAACCCAAAAAGAAAATGAGCAGAAGCAAGTCATGGAAGGGAAAGTCCAAATGCCTGACAAGTACAAGAGGAGATCTAAATCTCTAACAGAAAAACGCAAGTTAAAACAATGAACAGGCATGGTGGTATAATCTCAGCTATTCCAGAGGTGAAAGCAAGAGGTTCTTGAGTTCAGTCCAGTCGGGCAAAGATATTGGGGAGATGCTATCTCAAAACAAAATAAAAAAGAAAAGGGTGGGGGGCATAGCTCAAGTGATACAGTATTTGCCTAGCAAGGGAGAGGCCCTGGTGTTGGGAGGTGGAGGGACCCCAGCAAGGACATCCACCCTGATATGAAAACAGACAACAACTATAAAGTCAAACAAAGTAAAATTTGATGAAAACATGGGGAAATAGTGTCATTCACATGCTGCTGGTGGGGGCAGTCTCCAAGAATTTAGTGACATTTAAACACCATCTGCCCTGTGATCTAGTAAATCCAGCCTTAGAAATAGAGCCCAAACAAAATGCCACATAGGTCTTTGTGGGCCACATGCAAAGATGTTCATTGTAGTGCTGCTTGTGGTAGGAGGGAGTTAGAAACTACGTGGGTTTTCATCACTGGGAAAACAGATAAATAAGAGTGGATGCTTAGCTGGGAATATCTTGTACCAGTTGGATGCAATATGCTAGATTTTCCCCACACCTACATGGTAAAGAGCCTAAAAACATTATGGAGTGAAAAAAGGAAGTAACAGAATGAGATCCTTATACAATACCACCGTGTAGTGTAAATACACACACAGAACCGCGTATTTTCTGTCTAGGGACATATTTTCACATGTAGGTGTTGGTGCATATGGTGTAGAAGGGAAGGAGGGAAACTAAAATAAAAACATCAGTCTGCTGGAGTGGTTCAGGAGTACCTGCCTAGCAAGCATGAGACCCTGAGTTCAAACCCCAGTACCACAAAAATAAATAAATAAATAAATAAATAAATAAAACATCAGAAAGACCTTGCATGGACCAGTGAGGCTGGGATGATGCTTTATCACAAGCTGAGTGTGAATCATGGAATCCCCTCAGGTGTGGCCATGATGTCACGTGACAGCTGATGGCAACAGTAGCTACCTTTCAGTAAGGAGGTTAAGTACTACCATGGTCTGGCCATGGAAGGTTTTGTGAAGTTTCACAGATACATTTTAGCTCCTCTTCCAGCACCTGGCCCCTCTCCAGCTTCGCACACCCCAGGATTTCTCTGGCTCTCCAGCCCTCTGCCTTCCCATTCCTGTGACTTCCCCAGACTCCAGGATGGCTGTCTGCAGGGTGTTGGGTAATTGTCCTGTGAGGCTGGGGCACAGCACCAGTCCGTGAGAGCATTGTAAGGGACAAATCCTGTTTCTGTCTGAGTTCCTGGACAGTTCCCATCCCACTGCTCCCAGTCAAGACAGGGAAACTGAGTCAGAGAATGTTCCAAGAGAAAGGGAACAGCATTTATTGCGCATCTAGCCCAGCACCAAGGTCTTGATTTTCATTAATTCCCATGACCACCCTGTGAGGAAAGTAGGGTTGAAATTGTTAGAGAGATGAGGGAACGGGAGGTAATATTTAAGGAGAAAAGGGTCCCTTGAGTCCCTTGCCTTCTGACCTCGTTTTCCCAGTCTGTAAAAATAGGATGAACAGAGGTCGCTGGAAATTCTTTTGTGTTTCTTTTCTTCAGTCTGCCAGCAGGTGGAAACCAGATGCTCAGAAGTTGCGCGATCTCGCGAGGGAAGGTGTGTCCTGCGGGGTGAGGCCGACAAGAGCAGGACGGGAGCCCATCCGCAGGCTGGCCTAGGCGCCGGCCCCGGCCGTGCGGTCTGCCCTCGCCTGCCCCCTGCAGGTGATTCTCGGCACTGCAGCGACTGGAGCCCCGGGGCAGGGGCTGCAACCAGAGTCGTGTAAGCCTCGGGCCAGGGTGTGATGAGCAGCCCTGGGGATGGGGTCTCACAAGCAAGAATGAGGGAGACTCAGAGGCGGGCTTCAGGGCGCCTCTGGATGGGTGGTGACTAGAGATAGTTGTCTTCAGCCGTGTCACCCTCGCCTGGAGACTCATTGCCATCGTCGTCGTCGTCGTCGTCGTCGTCGTCGTCGGGGGCCAGCGCCTCGATGTCATGCGTGATGTCAGCCAGCAGCCGGTGGAAGGACTGCGCCTCGGGCCGCTGGGCTGCGCCGTCGTAGCTGCGCACAGCTGAGGCCGAAGTGGAGCTCATACTGCGCTTGATGCGGCCGAAGCTGTCGGTGAGGATGCCGCCCTTCCGGATGCCCACGCCCTCCAGGAAGCCCTCGAAGTAGCCGATGTCCTGGTCCGGGATGAAGGGTCGCATCCCTGCAGGCAGGGCAGGGTGACTCTCCCGTTTGGTCCCTTTTCCCCTCCACAGACACATCACCCTCTCCAGAGATCTGAGGTCAAATTCTGACTCTGCTGCTCACCCCGCTTTCTCTGGGCCAGTGGGTGATGACAGAATGCTCACTACCTGTTAGCTTAGTATGCGATTGTTATTGTTTTGACGTTACTCCCGGTATTTTACCTAACTACTCAGAGGCTTGCTTTCCTCTTCTGTAAAACAGGTAACTGTGCCTGCTCTCCTGGCCTCAAGGTACTTCCCACACAGCTGAGTGTCCGCATTTCCAGCCCATACTAGCTGCTCTTTGACTTTGGCACTTGGCTAATTCTCCGCCTCAGGAAGAAAAGTAATCGTATCTACTTCCCAGAGCCAGGGGCATGCCCTAAGATCGTCATCTAACCGGCACATGGTAGTAACTGAGCCAAACAGTTAGCTTGTTAGTATTATTCCTGTCAGTGCTTATTAGCCCTCCTTACTGCTGTTGACCTTGGGCAAGTTCTTTAAGCTCTCTGAGTCTCAGAGGGATGGGATGAAGAATCATTTCCTCCTCCAGCTCTCCCCTGGATCCACCAGGGCTCTGTTCTCTTGTCAGCTGTTTGTTGACCGTCACAAGCCTTTTCCCTTCTCTGCACCTCAGCATCCTTATCTGCTCCAAGATCCTTCTGCCCCTTCTCCTTTTCCCAGTATCTGCCTAGGAATGCAGGGACCGAAAGGGAGACTTAGGCACCCCCTGGGGGTTGGGGCTCACCGAGGAGGAGGAACTTGCGCCGGTCTCCATAGAGCTTCAGCAGGCCTGAGCAGTAGTCCTGAATGGGCAGCCCCAGCCTGTACTCACGCAGGAGCAGCGCGAACTGCTGGATCTCAGGGGGTCCCAGCTTACTCCGCAACTGTGGGGGACACCCTTGGAGACCAATTCCAGGGAACAACCCCCAACCCTAGCCGAAAAAGCCAGAGTCCTCTCTAGGGGTATGCTTGGGCCACCTCACCTCTGAAAACCCTTCCTTGGCCTGCTCCGGGGACACCAGGGCCCCTGAACTGTATCTGAGTATAGGACGTGGACTCAAACTGCCTGTGCTCCAATCCTGGCTATCTTGGGTGACCACCTCTGTGATCTTGGGTGACCCTTGCTTTCTTCCTGTGCACGTGAGGATGATGATGGTGCTCCCCTCTTGGAGTTGTTGGAAGGATTAAAAGATAGGAGGCATGAAAGGTGTTTAGAACAGTGCTTGGTATACGACAAGCACTCAATTATCCCTCACTGACATCTGTTAAGGCCCTTCACAAGCTGGCCTCTTCTGGCCTCCTCTGCTGCTCTGAGGTCAGGCTTTGGTACGTCCAGGCCATGCATGATACCTAGAATAAGCCCATGATTCCTCCTGCCTCTGGGCCTCAGCTCATACTGTTCCCACTGCCTGTCCCACTCACCGTGATCATGTAATCCTGTAGCTGCTCGAGGCCCAGGCCACTGTGGTCACTCCCGCTGCAGTGGGAGCCATGGAAAGAAGGTGTGGACGTGCCACTGTAACATGCCTCAAACGTGTCCTGGGAGCCGTTGCTGCAGGGACAAGAGGAAAGGGGCCTTCACTTGCAGTCTCTGCTCTTCTTCCTAGGGCAGGCTGAAGGTGGTGGGCATGCTTACTGATGCTCTGGGCCTAAGGCCCCATCCTAATCCCCATCGGTCCTCCAAGGCCATGCGTGATCTAGCCTCTAGCCACCTCTCAAGCCTCTTCTCTCATTATGCTTCCTCCTGCTCTTGGTGTTCTGACCACCCTGCCTTCTCCTTTCCTCTCTAAGACCACAGGCATCTCCTCACCCCTGGGCCTTTGCACATGCAGCTCCCTCTGCCTGGAACATGCCTCCCCGTTGATCCCTAAGTCTTGGTTCAAGTGTCGCCAGCTCTGAGAGGCCCTACTGATGCTCCAGATGAGGTGAGGGGTCCCTCAGTCTCTCTTCTCAGTGCTTGTGACTACTCATGCTTACTAGTACTAAATAGAGTCCCTGGTCTCCCATCTAGACGTAAGCTTGGCAAGAGCAGAGACGGCCTTGCTCACCTCTTGTTGAGTACCTACTTGTGCCAGGCTGTGTCCCCAGCAAACAGCACACAGCCTGGCAGGTAGAAGGTCCCCAGGAGGTGTTGTTTAATAAACACCAACCTTGGGCTCCTGCCTCCTGATCTCTAAATTGTTCCAACCACCTTCCAGAGAAGCAGCACAGCTTCCTAGTAAGGGTGTGGACTCTTGTACTTATAGCCCAGGCCTGCTATTTTACTCTTGAAAAGCTCAACTCAGATTCCCTATTCCTCAGCTTCTCCCATCTGTAAAATGGGATGATAAAAATTGGTGTTACATGAGAAAGAGAGAAATTAATTTTCGTAAAGTTCTTAGAGCCATGGACTATGAACAAGAAATAATGTAACCACTGTAATTTTGCCACGTAACTACTAATAAAAAATATCGAAGTAAGGGCTGGGAGCTGGGTGCCAGTGGCTCATGCCTGTAATCCTAGCTACTCAGGAGGCAGAGATCAGGAGGATCATGGTTCAAAGTCAGCCAGTGCAATAGTTCATGAAAAACTATTTCGAAAAAACCCATCACAAAAAAGGGCTGGTGGAGGAGCTCAAGGTGAAGGCCTTGAGTTCAAGTCTCACTACCTCAGGAAAAAAAAAAAAAGAAGAAGAAGTAAGGCTGGAGGACATGGCTCAAGTTGTAGAGTGCCTGCCTAGTAAGCTTAAAGCCCTAAGTTCAAATCCCAGTATGACCAAAAATAAATAAAATAAAATTGTGCTTTATAGAATAGCACTTGGCACATAGCAAGCTCAACGTTAGTCATTACCATGATTTTCATCTCTCCAGCAAAATCAAGTCACTGATGGACTGGCCTATGGCCAATAGCTTTAGGAAGGCAAAACTATTGCCATTACTAACAAGGAAGAAAAAAATTAGGGCATGTGTCACCTGCAGGGACTGCCACTTGCTAACCCCAAGTCTGTAGACACATGACTAGGGTTAGTAACCACTGGGGATTTATCCAAGATTTTTCTTGGTTTTAGCACTGAAAATCTCAATGTCCTCAGTTCCTGAGAAAACCAGGATGGCTGGCTGGTCACCCTAAACAGAACCCTGGTCCATGTTCTCAACTGAAAAAAAAAAAATTTTCCCAACCAATAAAAAAGCTTAAATCCTACATTTTTTTCTAGCCTTGCTTGTAGCTAATTATGACCATGTGACCAAGTTCTGACCAGTGAGAAGTAAGCAGAAATTGCCAGGTGAAAATTCCAGGAAAAATCTTTGATTTTTTTTTTTTTGGTGGTCCTGGGGATGGACCCTAGAACTTCTTATAAGCTAAGCATACCCTCTACCACTGAGCTGCACTCCCAGATGTTCTGATGGCTGGACTTGGATCTTGGTCCTTGAGATGACCTTGAAGATGGAAGCGAGTGCTGTGGAGAGTGGGAAGAAAAAAGAGGCCCAAACCCCTGCTCCAGTTTATGTAAGACAAGTCAAAAAAAAAAAAAAGCCCTGTCTTTAAGAAAGCCTAGTCAGGGCTTTCTATTACATGGAGCCAAAACTAAAGTAAAGGACCATTATTTTTCTGGCAGTAGCTATGACTTTGGATTCTGCAGGTCCCTGAGCCTGGATGACTGGGAGAGAAACACAGGCCTATGTGGACCCAGGTCTGGGTTCTGATGTTGCTGGGTCTCTTAAGGTCTGCATCCTATGAACTCACCAGAGCTTGGAGCTCAGTTTGCTTCCCACCCTCAGTGTCTTGTGTCTCAACACAAATCAATGGTGGGTTCCTTTCTCCTACCCTCTAGAGGAGTGACCCCGGTGTGCAGGGGTAAGGGAACAAAGTGGAGTCCTTGACAAGAGTGATACTCACAAGGAGCTGCAGCAGCTGAAGTCGGCGTCATAGGCATAAGTCCCATCTGTATGGCAGCTCTCACCTGGAACCAGCAGACAAAGGGACCATCAGAAGTGGCAAACAGAGACCAACATCCTTAGCTTCACCCTGGGTCAAGTCCTGCCTTGGTTCCAACACAGAGCTGACCTTGGGCAACTCACCTCCCCTATCATGGTCCTCAATTTCCCTAATATCCAGATAATATCACTTTCCTGCCTACCTCATGGGGGCCTCAGGAATAGTAGGTGAGGGAACAAGTTAGGGAGGGTGTTTGTAAACTGTGTGTATTTGAGGCAAGACAAGAAGATTTTGCAAGGGAGGAAAAGCAGTCTGAATCTTCAGAGGAAAGAAACACTATTTACAGTGACCTTTTCCTCTTTCCAGTCTGCATCTACCCAGGGATTAGCCTTGCCCTTCTGATCTCAGCTCATTCTGTCTCTTTGTCACCCTGACTTCTCAGTGAGACTGGTCTCTCATTACATGTTCTCAAAGCACCGTCTGTGGATAAACATTTATTTGTGTCCATACTTAATTACTATCAGCCCACCTCAGCCACTCAAGTTTCAAGAACGCAGGGAGGGTCACGTCTGGCTTTGTCCACCAGTAGTATATCCCGGTGATCAGCACTGGCTATGAGCTAGGAGGTGCCTAAAGGTTTGTTGAACGACTTGTTGGATTATCTCATTTTTTTTTGCCTGTCATCCCTGGGAAAGACGATGAATTATCCCAGCTTCCCAGCCTGTAATCCGAGCTACTCAGGAGGCAGAGATCAGGATTGTGGTTTGAAGCCAGCCCAGGCAAATAGTTTGCGAGACCCTATCTCAAAAAACCCTTTACAAAAAGGGCTGGTGGAATGGCTCAAGGTGTAAGCCGAGTTCAAACCCCAGTATCACACACGCACAAAAAAAAAAAAAAAAGAAAGAAAGAACCCCTCTTGAACATGTGTGATGCACCTATCCCTGTGCAAGGTTAACAAGGACAAGTTGCTGTGAGGATTTAATAAGACTTTGCACCTTGGTACTCTGCTTGGCGTATAGTTGGTTTTCAATAAATGCCTGTTAGTCTTATTCTCATTCCACCCCTCAATTGCATCCAAGAACCGGTCTGGAAATGTTGGCATTGAACTAGGGACTTAGAGGGGCTCAACAGCACAGTGAGCAGGCAGTACATGTGCTCAGGTTTCTGCAAAGCAGGGGCATCTAAAACCAAAGAGAAAAGTTCAAGTGCGAGAGGCTCATTCTGAACGTGGCAACCCAATCCTCTTTGAGGTCATTATGAAGACCAGCATTTTACTTTACCTGCATATTAAGGGGACACTGCAATTCTGGTAGAGCTTGAGGCCCCTAAAGGCCTTCGCCAACCCTGAGTCCTAGGACATCCTTCCTCTCCCAGTCTTGTAAGGATGTGTTACGGGAGGGGAGGCCAGGAGTTTGGGTACTCACTGCGGCTGTAGAGCCATGGCCGTTCTGGTGTGGATGTGTAGTGGTAGCCAGCCCGGTCTACACACTCGATGCTCTGGTCCCCATAGATGATCTGGAAGACCTGACAGATGAGTGCACAGGACTCCTCTGCAGCATCCTGGTCCAGGGAGGAGGAGAGTCAGGCCCTCACCTACCAGCAGGGCACCCCTGCTTCCACAAACAGTGTGAGCCACCATCTTGAGACCCCACCCATGAACTCCTTTAAGTGAACACACACCATCAAAATTACATGGCTACTGCCTGGATTTTGTGGCCCCTTTATAGAATCCAGAGACAATTCTGATTTCTTTGCCATGAAAAATACATTTCACATTCCTGGGGGATTCATAGACTTATCTAAAATAGGCCATAACTTATTTTAAAGTGGAGGTAGAGAAGCTGAGATCCAGTGAGGGGAAGTGATTATTGGGATTAGGACTCAGGTATTCTAACACCTAGTAGAAGGAAGAACAATTAAAAGTATTAAAATTTTAGGCTCAATGTAGTTAACACTACTGTCTATAAATATGAGATTCCTAGAACCCAGTGCAAAAATGGAGGCAAGATAGCCATCTACCAGTGGCTCACGCCTATAACCCTAGCTATCAGGAGGCAGAGATCAGGAGGATCATGGTTTGAAGCCAGCCTAGGCAAATAGTTCACGAAAAACTATTTCGAAAAAAACCATACAAAAAAGGGCTGGTGGAGTAGCTCAAGGTGTAGGCCTGAATTCAAATCCTAGCATGGCAAAAGAAAAAAAAATAGGATGAATGTATCAACTTCAGTTCCTGATAGGAGTTGTAATTCTTAGGTGAAACTTTTTTTGAGATTGCACATCTGAAAAGGAATTTGCCTCTGTATGTCTTTAATCAAGAGACATGGAAAGGCAATAACTGAAGAGAGACTATTCTCCTGAAGCTATTTACTATTTTGTGTCTCCAAAAAAGCCCATGGTATAAGCTAAAATTTACTAATTGAGGCTAGGCATATGGCTATAGCGTTTAGTCACTAAACCAGGGTTGATTCTTACAATGATCCTACAATGGATGAGGCAGAGAGGATCCTTATTTTTATAGTTAAAGATGCTGAAGCTTAAAGTTCTAAGTGACTTGCCTGAGCTTACTCAGCAGGCTCATAACACTGGTTTACACTGACACCAGTTTTTTTGTTTTTGGTGGTACTGAGGTTTGAACTCAAGGCTACCACTTGAGCCATTTCCCCAGTCCTTTTTTTTGCTTTAGTTATTTTTCAGATAAGGTCTCACATTGCCCAAGACTGTAATCCTCCCACTTACAGCCCTCTGCGTACCTGGGACCACAGGTACTCACTGGGCGTGCCACCAAACCCAGATTAGTAATTGAGATAGGGTCTCCCTATTACACCCAGGCTAGCACTAAACTTCAAACCTCCTGGCTCAGCCTCTAGAGTGCTAGGATTGATACAGGAGTTCTGGGATTACTGTGCTCAGTTCATTTTTAACTCCTGAACCCTCCTTGGGACAGCAGTTGGAGGCCTGAGGCTCAAACACCCAGGGAAAGAATCTCCTCATTTACTTACTCATTCCTCAAGTTCTCATTCTATCCCAGTGTGTGGCAAGCAATGGACCAGGCCCTGAACCCTGGAGCACCCACAGTCCAGTGGGGCAGACTAGGCATACTGGTGCTTCTCTCTGGAATCTAATTTCCAGGCCCTTCGCTTTTCTGACTCCTTCTTCTCCCCATATCAGTTTAAATGGCACAAACTCACTTTCCCTATAGAAAATGGGTCTCCTCTCCCATTCTCTATTATGTAACCTGTTCATTTTCTTCTTGGTCCTCATGGTAAAGTATAACGATGCTAGATGCATTGACTCATCCATTCAGTCACTGGGTGTTTCCTGAGCGCCTATAATGTGGCAGGCATGGTTCTAAGGACCAGGGGGTACCACAGGAAGCCACCTGGAACACACAGTTCTCCTGCATACAACCAGGGTGCAGTTTGGCTGGATGAGGTAAAGGGGGAGGTGTGGAAAGAGGTGAGGTCAGACAGGAAACGCAGGGAGTGGCTGGAGCATGGATGGCGTAGTAAGCAACTGTAAGGATGGGCAGCTCTTACTCTGAGTGAAAGAGAGAGGCACTGTAAGATCTGGAGCGGCAACGTGACTTAGCAGGATTGCTCTGAGAGTGTAGGGAACAGACCGTAAGAAATCCTGAGCCAATGCCAGGCGGGGGTGTTTCAGCATGATCTCGATGAGAGATGGGCCATGGGCCTGGGTGGGGACAGTGGAGGTTTTGGTTATATTTGAAAAATAAGGACATAGTAGATATGGTGTGTGTGTGTGTGTGTGTGTGTGTGTGAGAGAGAGAGAGAGAGAGAGAGAGAGAGAAAGAGAGAGAAGCCAAGGAGCACTGCAAGGTTTCAGCCTAAGCAACGTAACAATGGAGCTGCCAAACACAAGGAGACCAAAGAACCTTGGGTTTGGGGGGAAGATTGGGAGCTCAGCTTGGGTTGCATTAGGCTTGAAAAGGTCACTAGATCTTGGAATGGAATGTGCACCTGAGATTTGGTGAGAGGTGAAATTCAGGCAGTTCTCATGGTTTTAAGACTAGAGATCACCTGGAAGTGAGAGTGGACACAGGAAAGATCAAAGATGCCGAACAGGCAATCCAACTTTAAGAGGCTGTAGAAGAGGAGGAACCACCTTCCAAAAAGGAGCCAGGGAGGCACAGCAGGAAAACCAGGAGAAAATGGAAAGCAAGACACCAAGGTGAGCAGTGTCCCAAGGTGGGAAGGCAGTTACCCCCTCCAAGTTTCCTGATCATTGTTCACCTCTCTCTCTACAAAGGCACAGACATGTTTTATTCACTACTATACACAGAGGGAGGTGGGGCCTTGCGGGGAGAGGAAAAGATTAGAAGACTAAAGGGCTTGGAGTTGTCTGCACACTGGCAGGCACATCTCTGTGTCCATAGCGCTTAGAACACAATTGGCACTCAACAAACACCATCAAGTGAGTGAAAGCAATGATGAATGTGGAGAATGGTGGGGGAGGCAGGAAAGGCAAGAATGGCAGGAAGGTTTTTCCCATGGATGACCAAGTTAGTTACCAAGAGTACAGCTCTGAACTTCCTGGGTTGCTTCTTGAAGTTACTGCCTGCTTCCCGTCTGACCCTGCATTAATTCCTCAATCTCTGGGCCTCTCTTTCCATCCTCATAGAATGGGGACAGTGACATATTCGCCTCTAGCGGTCGCTGTGAAAATTGAATGTTAATACTGTCCTGGGTCTGGCATGGGTATGCGTTCTGGTGATTAGTGTCCTCTTGATTGTCACTGTGATGGTACCAACACTGACCATACCGGAGGAGAGTTACGATCAAGTATACTAGCCATTTTGAGTTTTCATCCCAAGGAAGGACCCAGGGGAGGTGTATCATGGCCACACTGAAGTCCTGGGTGGAGCCAAAGGAGGGGGAAAGACGGACCGCAGGGGACGCGGCGGGGCGGGGTGGGGGAGAGGGACGGGAGCAGTGTCCCTAAAGCGCGGGGTGCCCCGGGCTCACCCTATTGGCTACAGCCAGGATGACCAGGTTGCAGTAGGCGTCGGGGCTGGGGTTCTGCGGGTCCAGTGGGTTGGGGCCGGGGTGGCGCCTCTCCCAGCTGCCGCCACCACCGCCTCCCGCCTGCCGTCGCTCCCAGCTGCCTCCCGGCTTGCCAGCTCCGCCGCCGCCGCCGCCCGCGTGCCGCCGCTCCCAGCTGCCGCTGAACGTCTGCCGCCGTTCCCAGCTGCCCGACGCCCGCGCCCCCGCGCGCTGGCGCTCCAGGCTGCCGCCGCCGCCGCCCGCCGCCCGGGCCTCGGCGCCCGCGCCCCCGCCCCACGCCATGCGCCAGTCCAGGCTGCAGATGGTGTGGCGACGCTCCGCCGTGCCCACACGCCGCTTCTCGGGCGCCGCGCCCGGAGGTCCCAGGTCGCGCCTCGCACCTCCGGGGCTGGCGTCCACGCCTGCAGGCACCGGGTCCACGCCCAGACCTAGGAGAGGCGGGGAGGCCGTCAGCCGCAGGAGATCGCGGCTTAGAGACGCCTCCCGAGGCCACCGGAGGACCGTCCCGCCGTCCCTGCCTGGGAGCACCCAGCCTCCACGCTCCCACTCCTCACCCTTACTTTCAAGCCCCGCCCCAGCCTCAGGCTCCACCCCCGCTTTTGACTCCACCCCTGATCAAGTTGTTCCGCCCTCCCCCGGCCGGAGCCCCTCGGCTAAGACCTACCTTCTGACGCGAGGGTGGTGGTCAGGCGGTCCCCTCCTTCTGTGCCCTCAATCGGACCGTGTCCCTGGTTTAGCAGCCGCCCCTCCCTTAGGTTTCGACTCTCCTCAATCCCGCTCCCGGCCTCAGGCCCCGCTCCGAGTTTGCTGATCTGACACCTCCCATCGGCTCACCCACCCACGAGCTCTGCCCCCCTGAGTGTAGCCCCGCTTCCAGACCAGACTGCACTCCTAGCCCCGAGGGGTCACCCTAGCCTCTGAACGGTGCGGTCATGCCTTCCTTTATCACCCTGCCCTGGCCTCAGGTTTCGGGTTTCACGCTCTCCGTACTTCGCCCCCTGGCATCGGGATAGTGTGTCAGGGCACCCTTGGTCTTCGACCTCGGGCTCCGTTTCCTTGCATATGGATTCTTTGGCTTGCCCTTAGTCTCAGGGTGGTGTGGTCAGGCCTTTCCCATAGCCCCCTCTCCCAGCTTGAGGTCATGCCCAGTCCCTTTCTCTTTCTCCCTTCACCTCCCGGCCCTCCATCGTCAGCTGTACCGGTCTTAAGCACTAGCAGGTGCAGCGCATCGTCCTGCAGGTAGGAGGCGGCGGCGATCTCGTGCGTGGGGATGCGCAGGATGAGCTCCTCATTGTCACGCCAGGTGAGGAGCAGGCAACGGGCAGACAGGCTCAGGATGCTGTCCTGCTCCGCCGTCGTCTTCAGCGGCAGCTCCCTCAGCTGCTATGGAGTGATCGCATGTACTAAGTCCCTGGGGGCCGTGGGTAAGCAAGGGAAAAGGGATTCCCTCCTCCATCCCCAGGCCTCACCCTGGCCGTGTCCAGCAGCTGCAGAAGCTCATCCCGGCTGGAGGGGTTCAGTGAGGAAGTCACCCAGGTGAGGTGGCCCAGGAACTAGATGGAAAATGGGGTAGAAGGACACAGAGAAGTCATCTTGATGCCTTGGAGGACTTTGGCCTCCTCATTGATGCAGTGAGAATAGACTGAGATGGAAATATCTGAGTTAATAACCTGATAATGACTTTTATTCGGTCCATAATAGAAGTCAGGTGCAGTGTGGAGAAAAAATTAGAGATAGACAGATATTCATCCATTCACCCTTGCTTTCTGGATGAAAAACCACGGCAAGAGCATGGTTAACTACACAACTTGCCCAGGATTATATTTATAGCTGCAGCTAAGACTGGACTCCACGCCAGAACTCATACTCTCAACAGCTACTTGATACTACCTTAACACATCGTCATTTAGTTATAAGGTTCTGTAGGGAAACGAGTCATTAATATGGCTTTGCACATGCACACACCAAACCTGGGGCTCCTTGCATGCTACACAAGTTCTCTACCACTGAGCTTCGCCCCCAGGCTCCACTATTAAAGCTTGAAAGAAGTGACCCCCTGTGAATTTCCTCATCCTGAGTGACTCTCCACTGCAAACACCATTGCCAAACAGATTGCAAAGCACTTGTTCCTCTAATGGTCTCATTAAAGAAGTCAAACAGAAAGGAGTAAATTAAATTAATATATCATTTTGCTTAAAAAATGGTGCTTCAGATCAATATATTAATTCTTCATTCATCCTCCCCTTAAATGTTATTCAGTGTGAGAATTAACTTTTTCATTATTTTTAATTGTATTCTAGGTGAATTCCACCAAACTTCTTTTTTGTCTTTTAATTCTCTGTGAAATTTCAGTCCTCAGTTTTTAAGATTTCTTCATTAGCTTTTTTCTCTATGTAGGGTTGCCAGATAAAATACAGGATGCCAGTGAAATTTGAATTTCAGAAAAACAACAATTTTGTTATTAGTTTTCTAGTACTTTTAGTTCTGTGCAATATTTAGAACATATTTGTGCTGGAAAAATATTCATTGCTTATCTGAAATTCAGATTTAACTAGGTGTCCTGTTGTTTGCCAGGTCTGCAAGCCATATAAATCTTCCTTGGCTAAGATTTCCATATAAATCTTCCCCAACCCCACTGCTCCATGATGTTCTGAAGTAAAGCCCTTGGGTAGTCAGGGTCCTTTGTTTGCATTTTTGGGGGAGGAGGAGGCTGGGGATCAAAGCCAAGGCCTGGAGCATCCTGGGCAAATGCTCTGCACTGGGCCACGTCCTCGTCCTCAGCCTGTGTCTGGCTTTTAACAGGGACACTGTCTGAGTTAACAAAAAGACTACTGCAGTAAAGTCTCATAGGAAGGCAGAGCTTTTCAGTGTGCACTCTCCCATCCAGTCGCCTCTAGGAGGTTTTGAGCCCCATGATAAGGCAGGAACACCGAGGCTTGGTGGCTGGAGGTCTCTTGCTGAGGGTATATAAACCCACGCCTCTTTCCCACGAGCTATAGCTTGCCATGTGTGAGACAGAGCTGGTCAGGGGTTGGTATGGGAGATTGGTAAGATCTCTCTCAATCCCAAGGTTCCCATCTGTTCTCATCCCCCACTCACCTTAACCTCTTTCTCCAGGTAGTCACACAGCAGAATCTGAGGGTCAATGAGGTAGTCGGGGGGATAAAGGGGCATGGAGTGCAAGGGCCGTCGACTCACACTGCTCCGGAAGGCTGCCCGGCGCCCAGCCTTGGGGAATACCAGCCTTCGGATGGGGGACACAAAGCCCTAGAGGACAAAATGGGGAAGAAACTAATAGCAGCAGTAATAGCACTGTCATGCTTACCATCTCACTTACATGACCTGAATTTGGTTTTGGTTTTGTTGTTGTTGTTTTGTGTTTTGCAGCAGGGTCTTGCTCTGCAGCAGAAGCTGGCCTCAAACTCATAATCCTCCTGCCTCAGACTCCCAAGTGCTTGGATTACAGGTGTGTGCCACCAGGATCATCATGACCTAATTCTCATTAAAACTGCAGAAGGGATGACTCTGTGATTCCAGCTTTATAGATGGAGAAACTAAGCCCCAGAGAGAGAGAGTTAGCTGATAAGGTCACCAACTAGTAGTGGTGGAACCAGTGGGCAGCCCAGCTCCAAAACCTCCATTCTAACCACCCATTCCTAGGGGAGGGTGCAGCCCCTGCCAATCAGGTTTAAAGAATGGGTCCAGACAGGGACAAACCCAGAACTATTAGTGTACTAAGTGATAGGTGCAGAGGTATTTATAAGGCTATTCTCTGTTTTTTCCTATAAGTGAGAAATAAGTAATAAGTAAATTGAAATGTAATCCAGAGACACCTGTATAAAAATAGCAAATTCCAGGGGTTCTGCCCAGCTAACTGTAAATCTCAAAAGAAAGTCTGTACCTGGGTGGTGGTTCATGTTTGTGATCTCAGCTACTCAGAAGGTAGAGATCTTGAGGATCTCAGTTCAAAGCTAACCTGGGCAAAAACGTTAATGAGGCCCCATCTCAATGAACTAGGGAGGCATAGTTGTATGCACCTGTGGTCTCAACTATGCAGAAGGCAATAGGTAAGAGTATTGAGGTTTAGGCCGGCATGAGCAAAAATGCAAGACCCTATCTGAAAGATAACTAATGCAAAACAGAGCTGAGGGTGTGGCTCAAGTGATAGAGCTCTTGCCTAACAAATGTGGGGCCCTGAATTTAAATCCCAGTACCACTACCACCAAAAAAAAAAAAAAGCACAGCTGAAAGCAGCAGTTCCCAGTGTGTGATTCTGGGCCCTCCTGGGAAATTAGAGGAATGTAGATTCCCAGGCCATACCCCAGACCTACAGCAATCCCAAGGGGAGCGCCTCACTTGAGAGCAGTCACTCCCCGTCCTGGCTGCACTCTAGAACTACCTGGGCAGCTTCTAAAACTTCATGTGCCCAGGGTACACCCCAGACCAAGAGAATCAGGCATTCTGGGACTTTTAAAGGCTCCTTAGTTGATTTCAGTGACAGCCGGGCTGAAATACTGAGTATAGAGAGCGTGTGGTGTGATTACTTATCTCCCACAACAAGGCATAGGTGAACAAGATAACTCTCTGCCCCAGGAGCTCACATTGTAGTTCTGATAAACTACACAAATCCAGAGAGTATGGGTTAGTTTGCTCATTCATTCAGCAAACACACATTCACACCTGTATGGACAGAGCCCCTGTGCTAGGATTCAGGGGAGGACTGGACCCCTTGTCTCCAGGGCTTGTGACAAATGACCTAAACAACCAAGTCTCACACTTTTCTGTCCTCACAAGTTTCAATTCAGTAGGACTGGGGAGGGGGCCAAGGGTCTGCATTTCTCAGAAGCTCACAGTGGCTGTGGATGCTATGGTTTGCACTTGGAACTTTGAGTAACCAGGATCTAAACTGATGATTCTCAAGGTGTGGCCCTCAACCAGCATCACCTGGGAGTTTGTTAGACACACGGCCCATCTGGGACCCCATCCCAGACCCATTGTTGGATCAGAAACTAGGGGAGCGAGCGCATGATCTGTGTTTTAACCAGCTCTCCCTCCACATGATTCTGATGCATGCTCACTCAATGTTAGGACCGATATCACGGAGCTTATAGGGGTGGTGTGGAGCCACTGAGAAATGAGAGCAGAGTATCTGGAAAAAGGTGTTCCAAACAGAGAGCATCACATGTGCAAAACCCAGGGGCCTTCAAAGTCTGGATGAGAATGAACCTGGAGAAGCCATGTGCAGTCTGTCATAGCTAGATTATGAAAACACGTGACACAGGCTTGGAGTGGCAGCTATGGAGCTGAGACTTTATCCTGCATATTTTAGTATTGTGAGGTGTTTTGTCTGTGACCCTGAATAGTCCAGCCCGCCCACCTCTCTAGCCTCATCTTACTTCACACTCACCCTTACTCCTGCCATCCAGCCACAGTCCTTTTCTATGCTACATTCCTTCCCTCCATGGGGCCTTTGCACATGCTATCCCTCTGACCCAAACTCTCTTCCCTCCCCCTTTCCTTCCACCCATCAGGTCTCAGCTCTAACTCACCAATCTAGAGTTGGGGATGCTAGTGCTAGTGGAGTGGCTTAAGTGGTAGATTGCCTGCCTAGCAAGCATGAGGCCCTGAGTTCAAACCTCCATACTGCCAAAAAATAAAAAAAAAGTTTTACTATTTTGTCTCCCAGCACTGAGTATGGGGCCTTTTATGCCATTTACATGAATCTATTCATTGCCTTTAAAAATTAGTAGCCATTTTGCTCATTAGATTGTGAGCTCACCATGGCACCATCACCGTCAGGCCCAGTTCATGGCACATAACAGGTGCTCAATATACGTCAAAAGAATGAGCCAGGGCCAGGCATGGTAGCACACATCTATAATCCCAGCACTCAGGAGGTTGAAAGCAGGGGGCCAGCCTGGGCTACCTAGTAAGACCCTGTCTCAAAGCAAGCAAACAAAGAAACAAATGGACCCAAGTGAGGACATGCACATAAGCCGGCTCCCTCCTTAGCCCTCCATGATTCACATGGGTGCCTTTAGGAAGTCCCTGGCGCAGGTTTCTCGGGGATGAGGGTTCTTTGTGGAAGGGGGTAGATGGGAATTGGAATCTGAGAAGTTTCCTGAATTCCAAAGACAACCAGATGACATGGCCAGAGAAACAGACTAGAAAACTCAGAGTCAGAAAGGGGAGGGAGTTGGGAGTTGATTCCTGGGCTGAGGCCTCAGGGGTAGGCAAGGGCCTACCCCTTGCACAAGGATAGGAAGGGCATCTGTAGGTGGGAACACAGCAAGGGGCAAGTGGAGATCTCCTAGTACAGAATTGCCCTGGCTGGGACCCTTCTGTGTGGGTCTGCTGGTGTCTGTCTATCCCTCAGTCTGACAGGCTGTAGGAGGGAACCACCAGGACACCAGAAGCAGTTTTCCCAGGAAAGCCCATCTGTCCAGGGATGGCAGAGGCCACTGAGAGTGGAGAAACAAATGTCTGGCTTTTAGGGGTAGAAAGGAATGTCCTTTAGCTAGAAAGGAAGGTCCCACTTATGCCACTTGTCACCACACACTGCTTCCCCCTTCCCCAGCTTCAGGGACATTCCTCCACCCTCTGTCCCTCTCAAACTCCCACCTACCTTCTTCCCTTTCTTGACTTCATATTCCATGGTGAAGTGTCCCTTCTACTCCTGCCACCCTTCTGGCCACCTCTCCAACCCCCCCACTCCCCCCACCCCCGCCAGTTCCTTTGTTCTTTTTCCTGCCTGGTCGGAAACTCCACCAGCATTGGAGTTCCTGCTCCTCCCATCTGATAGTGAGGGTGGGGGATGGAGGACATGGCCTGGGGACCCTAGTGCTGAAGGGTGGGAGCCCAGGCCTCCAACAAGAAGGCATGTTGTTGAGGGGGCTTAGTGGTTTGGGGAAGGGTCCCTCAAATTTGCAGATCACATTCGGAAAATCCCAAGTTCCAGCCCTACTTCTGCCACCTACCTTGCTATGTGACCTTGGCAAGGCCAGTCAGTTTCTCTTTCAGAATCTCTTGCCCCCTCCTCTCTATAAATGGGAAGTAAATCTTGCCTCCTTCCCTGGACTGAGAATTGAATGAGAGAGTGCGTGTGAAGTGCTTCATATACTACAGGACACTGTGTCCAAACACATTAATTAAAAAAAAAATTAATCACGGACTGGAGGTGTGGCTCAGTTGGTAAAGCTCCTGATTTGCACACCAGTCCCATATATATATATATATATATATATATATATATACACATATATATATATATATACTGTGATTACAGTTGTGTACCACCATGCTGGTCATACTCAATAAATATTAACCATTGAGGCTGAGGGTATAGATCAGTGATAGAGCACTTGCCTAGCACCCACAAGGCCCTGGGTTCCATTCCTAGCACTGCAATAATAATAATAATAATAATAATAATAATTTAACAATATACTTATCTATGACTGGTGGGATGTCTCTTGGGAGAACATTTGGGAGGCAAGGCCCCTATTGTGTCTCCATGCTGAGCACTTTACACATCTCATCTCACTTATTCTTCACTATGTTGGGGAACCACTACTATTACACAGAGACTTAATTGCAGAGTCTGGCTCAGGAAGGTCACAAATAGGTGAGAGGACCTGGAGCTTCTGGTCTGGATCTGAAGTCTTGTGTCCCTCACCTCTAGGACTTCTGCCTGCTACATCCCCCACCCAGGACTCTTGAAGAGGTCTGAGTGGCCTATCCACACCAGCCCATGATATCTGGGTTCTGGAGTCCCAAACTCTGGAACTTCCTTACCTCATGGCTCCAGCCTCAGCTTCCCAATGAGAACCATGACCCCTCAAAGCCCTCTTTTGCTAGTCAGAGGGGTAGCAAGAAGACACAAGGCCAGGGATGAGAAAGCAGGGAATTGTGAAGGCAGGTACAGTGCTACAGGCTGGTTTGCATGGTGTTTTGAAAGCATGGTGTGCCAAGTCAGTGTCAGCTGCTAGTGTCAGAAGTTCAGGGCTCCCATTGCCTCTGTGTATAGGAGAATCCCAGCCCCAGTTGTTCCTTTTCCTCTCCCTCTTTCAGAGAGGAAATGGCCCAGGCTGCTTAGTGCCAGCCCTCAGAGCCTCTCCCTCCTGATGCCCTCAGTCACATTCCAGCAGCAGGAAGTGAGATCTTCACTCAGCTTGCTGGGCCAACAGGAAGAGTCCAGGATGTGCAAGCCAATCCCTGGTCTTACGCTCTGCTCTCAAAATTACCACTTAACCCCTTGAGTCAGCCTGGAATTGCTACCCTTGAAGTGGCAGCAGAGTAGGAAAGGTGGTCTTTTGCCTTGGCACTTCTATAACTGGCTTTTGCAAACTCTTTCCTCTCTCTGGGCACAGTTTTTCTAACTTCAAACATCACTGAGCTGCTGGGAATCTCAATTAGAACAAGAAGCATTTTGAATACCCCTAGAAATAGAAAACTATCCCTGCCTTCCCTGTAGCACCCACCCCAGAGCCATGAACAGATGAAGTGCTTAGTGAATATCAGTAAAGTGGTTGGAGACAAGTGGATCCAGGTTCAAATGTGAATGAACTTGAATGTGTTTACCTCATCTCTCAGAGACTCAGAGTCCTCATATGTCAAAAGCAGGGTAATAATGGTGCCTGCCTCTGAAGGCTGCTCCAGGGATAAATGGGAACAGCATACAATGATAACACATGTTATTAAAATTAGCTTATGAATCAAAAGTGAAATGAGGGCTGGCAGAGTGGCTCAAGTGGTAGAGTGCCCACCTAGCAAGCGTGAGACCCTGAGTTCAAACCCCAGTACTGCCCCTGCCTTCCACCCCCCCCCACACACAAAAAGCAAGATGAGCCAAACAAAGACTCTGCTTTCAAAGACTTAACTGTGGCAGAGAGGATTCACCTCCAGTTGATTGGCAGGGGCTGCATGGAGAGCTGTAGAGGCTATAAAACCACAGGTGCTCCCAGCAGGAGAAAGGGATTATTGATGCCTGCCACAGGCAGGAGGGGGAGATGTGGCAGCAGGTGTACAATACGCTGATCCTGACCTGAAGATGACCTGAAGAGAGAGAGAGAAAGAGAGAGGAAGAGAGAGCAAAGAACTCTGATATAAGGCAAGTGACTTGTTTGGGGGAAGGTCTGCCTTCAGGAGCCATTTGCCACACCTGTGACATTCCAGTTATGCCTTGAAGAGTGAATGGAAGGAAGGTCACTCTAGGTAGAGGGAGCAGCTTGAGCCTGAGGTGTGACACTTTGTGGCTCAGACAAGGACAATTTATTATCTCAAGATACTATGTCTGAAAGAGAGGGCTCTCAGAGCTGGCTCATTGAGCCACTCACTGAGGACATTGAGTCCCTTCTATTTTCTTCTTTGCTGGTGTGATGGGCTGAATTGTGTGCGTGATTCCCCCGGGCTTTATATGTGAAAGCGCTAACCCCCAGGACCTCCGAACATAACAATATTTGGAGACAAGGCCTTTAAAGCGGTGGATAAGCTGGATTGGGGATGTATAACCATGGTAGAGCTCTTGCCTAGCATGCAGGAAGCATTGCAAAAATAAATACATGCTTTTAAAACTTAAAAAGAAGTGATTAAGTTAAAATAAGACTGTTCACCCCCACTGTTATAAGGGTGTCCTTATAAGAAAAGGAGGAAATTTGGCCACTAGGGGTGCTCACACACAGAGCAAAGACTGTGGGCAAAGACAGTGAGAAGGTGATCTATAAGCCAAGGAGAGAAGTCTCAGGAGAAACCAACTCTGTGACACCTTGATCTTGGACTGTGCCTCCAGAATTGTGAGAAAATACATTTCTTCTAAGTCCCTTTGTTTTCCCTTTGTCTGTGGACTGTGTTATGATAGCCCTAGCTAGCTAATATAATTGGCAAGATGGCTGTAGCCACCTTGGGAGTAACACAGATGTGAAGCCATCTGGCAAGATGAGACCAAGGGTTTCCCCTTTGAGTGTGTGTGTGTGTGTGTGTGTGTGTGTGTGTGTGTGAGAGAGAGAGAGAGAGAGAGAGAGAGAGAGAGATTCAGAGACAGGGGGGATTGAACCCAGGGCTTCATGCTTGCTAGGCAAAGTGATCTACCTTTTAAGATTTTCTTGTGTGTCTTGGAAGAAAACCTTTCCCAGGCACTTTTTTTGTATGTGTGTGTGGTATTGGGGTTTGAACTCAGGGCCTACACCTTGAGCCGCTCCACCTTTTTTGTGATGGCTTTTTTCGAGATAGGATCTCATGAACTATTTTGTCTGGGCTGGTTCTGAACTGTGATCCTCCTGATTTCTGCTTCCTGAGTAGCTAGGATTACAGGAGTCAGCCACTGGCACCTGGCTCCCACAGACTGTTGAAGACTTCCCTTAGGAATGTCAGGCACATTGCCCAGGATGTATTTTGGCTATAACAAAGACTCAAATAATAGTGGCCTAAACGTGATAGAAATATATCGCTACTTCTCATAACAGTAGAGGCATTTATAGTACAGACAGGTATGGCAATGCCATGTGTCCAGACCCAGGTGTTTCACCTTGTTGTCCCCTCATACTTTGGGTTAGCTCCCCACTGCAAGATGCCTCTCTTCTCAGCTGCATCCTTCCAGAAGGATACACTGAGAGCAGAGAATACCATCCCTCACTTTAAAGGGATGACCTGAAATAGCACCATATTCTACTGGTCACATCTCATTGGACAGAACTTAGTTTCATGGCCACCTGCAAAGGAGGCTGGGAAATGCAGTCTTTTATTCTGGACACCCATGCTAGCTATAGGTTCCTTTATAGAAGAAGCAGTATATCTGAGATTCTATTCCCGAGTGCTGCTATTATGGGGACCACACTTTGAGAGCTACTATCTTAGGCTAATTATGATTGACATTCTAGGCCAGGTAGGAGTCAGGAGTAACATGCCTTGAGGCCTCTAGGAAACTGGGGTTCTACCTGCATGAAAGGATAGTGAGAAAGGCTGTTGTGTGGCAACCAAAAGAGTCTCACAGAAAGTAGGAAGATGGGTGGCTTGGAGTTTTGCAGGCCTGGTGGAGACGAAGCTTAAGAGGCGTTTGGGATCCAATTTGTACAAAGTCAGCATCAGGCAAAAGGGTTGACCTTTATCCTGAGGTACTGGGGAGCCATGGGACATTCTGAAGCACAAAAATACTATCATCAGATTTGTGGGCGGATGCATTAAAGCAGTGGCCCTCCTCTTTAAAGAGTGAGATCTTTAAACTTCCTCATATCAGGGTCTCCCAGAGACCTTGCGAATACAGATTCCCTTCAAAGTCTATCCATTCCTGGTTATGGAGATGAACATCTGCTTCAAGATGAGCCCCCTTTGCCCAAGTGGTTCTGATGCTCTTTGCAGTTTTAGAAACAGTGCATTGGAGAACAGAAACCTTGGAGGGAGGGGACTTCTTATAGTCCAATGCCCCTAGAAGATCAGCTCTTTGCGGGCAGAGACAATGCCTCTTTTACCTTTCTCATTCACTGTGCCTAGAACTTTGCCTGACGCAGAGTAGGTAATCAATACATACTTGTTTTAGTGGAGTTAAGAACTTTAGTTTGGGTCCTGATTTTACCATGAACTCATTCTGTGACCTTTGACAAGTATATTCCCACCTCCCATCTTTTTTTTTTTCCCCCTTCCCTGTAAAATGAGTTTGGAGATAATCCCTAGAAAGGTTGGTCCTGAGACTCTGGTTGATTGATTGAG